ATGGACTGCCAGAAGAACAAACAAATCTGTCTTGGAAGAAGTACAGCCAGAATTCTCCTTAGAAGAGAAGATGGTGAGACATTGTCTGATGTACTTTGGACGTGTTGTCAGGAGGGACCAGTCCCTGGAGAAGGACATTATGCTTGGTAAAGTAGAGGGTTAGGAAAAAAATGAAGACCCTCAACGAAATGGATTAAACGGTGGCTGCAGCAATGGGCTTATATGTATATTTGTATTTAAATATAAATATAAATACTGTGAGGATGGCACTGGAAGGGCAGTATTTCATTCTATTGTTAGACTCACATGCTAGCTATGAGTCGGAAATGACTTGATGGCACCTAACAACAACAACAGCAATTAAATATCCTTTGTTTTTCACTAAAGAGATATCAGAGAGGCCTGAGTCTCAACACACAGCAAGTCTCCTCATTCCTGAAGTAGATAATATGGACCAAAACACAGCACAGATTCCAAGGAGCAGCCTGACAGCCACTGAAGGGTTGATCTGTCTGGTCTCTTCTAGCTCTAGCATTCTGGGATTTTTGCAGGGCATCTTGCAGAAGAACTGCTGTGTAGGAGTCAAAAGTTCCCTCCCACTGTTAGGGATGGTTCACCTGGTGAAGACTTCCATCAGGCCTCAGGAAAGCGTGAGCATTGCCTGAGTCCATGATGGCCTCAGATCATGAAGATGCCTGGGAAAGGGCCTTAGAATTTTTTGTCTTTATTACATTCTCTCTGACCTGTGTTCAGTTTTGCTGTGGATCTTATTTTCTTATTTTAATTACTGGTCACTAAGTGTGAATCGGAGCCCTGGTGGTGCAGTGGTTCAGAAATTGCTACTAACCAAAAGGTCGGCAGTTCGAATCCACCAGCTGCTCTTTGGAAACCTTGTGGGGCAGTTCTACTCTGTCTTGTAGGGTGTCTATGAGTCGGAATCAACTCAACAGCAATGGGTCTGGTTTTGTTTGGTTAAGTGTGAGTAAGCAGCATCTTTGATATTTACCAAACATTACACCTATGACTCCATTGTTATGAAGTACTAATGGTTCTGCTAAATAGTCAGCCCTGTGCAAATAGTCATCAAGTGACCAAAAATTATGATCTCATTGGATCAAATGTCCCTCGGTGATGCCAAGTCAAAAGAATACTTCAGGAGCTGCCTTTGCAGTAGGAAATGTCAGTCATGTGTTATATTCTATCAATGCACCATAGATATTATTTGCTCTAAGAAAATATCTGAAATGTTCTTATTCAATGGCTTCTAAAGATTAAATATGCCAAAATACATTTTCCCTTAAAAAACAAAACCTTGAAAATGTGACTTTAAAAATGTAAAAGAAGAATCATATTAAATTGTTCACAATTCTGCTTTTTCCTATTAAGCCAGAAAAGTGTTTATTGTAATCTTCTCCAGCCCCTTTTAGTGTGTGTGTGTGTGTGTGTGTATGTGTGCATGCGCGCACGTGCATGGTGTGTATGTGTTAAACATGGCATTGTGAAGATTGAATTCGAAGTAGACTTGGGAGAACAGGCAAGCAGTAAGTCCAGTGGTTCAGAAATCAAGAAAAAAAGATTTATGCTGAGTGAGAATAAACAGAAGGTATAGATAAGACATTGTAGTGAAAATCAGTCAGTCCTGGGATACTTCTTACAAGCTGCAGTACTTTGAGCCGGAGAAGACTGGGTCTGGTAAATGGGAATAATTATAGTTCCTACCTTATCATGTTGTTGTGAGGATTGAGTAAGACACTAAATGTAAAAACAAGTCCTCAGTACCTAATAGGTGCTCAATAAATGATGGTGATTAGGCTCCTCACATATGCTACCCCTTCAAAGCATACACTGGGGAACATACCTGTGTTCTCAACTGTTGAAGGAATTTTGGGTATTTGCAGGTAAGGCAAGAGTTGTTCTATGGGCTGCTTGGACTTCCTCTGAGGTTCTGAAGATAAACCTGATGGAGTCTTTCTAGGAAAGGAGAGAGGATTTAGGAGAACTGTTCTCACACTCCTCCAGACATCCAGTTACCACAATCATGTGTGGGTTACCCAGATGCTATGGGAGTAGATGAAGCAGTAATGTTCTTTCAGCCCTAGACATTCCCTACTTGAATTCAATCTGCCAGCTCCATGCCTTCATTCCTATCTTGATCTTCTGTCCTCCCTGCCTCACTTTGAACCCAGATGGAATTCCTTTTCTCTCCCCAAATCCAGAGTTCATTTCCTTGAGACTTCTCTGCTCCCCTGCAACAAATCCCTTATTTGGGAGAGGATGAAGTCATCTTAGGTAAGACTGTTGGCATTACAGTCATTGCAGCTATTAGAAAATTAAAGCAATAAAAAGAGATACTTGATTTGGCCATATAAAGTTTAACTCTTATATCAGGCACTTATGTTTTCTTATCACTTATATCTAATTATCCTGGAACATTATGAATATGACTATCATTAATTGGCCCTGATTAAGGTGAACATGCTTCATGATCGTCTGTTCATGTAACAGGACCTCAAAGTATTTGTAATGAAAAAAATAGAGATAGTAACATCGATTGCCACTCAAAACGTTAACATTGGACTTTGCAAAATTATGGAGATAATATAATCTTCACTAAAGTTTCAGTCCAACACTGCTATCTATCTTCCAAACCTGCCACAGGAGATTATATATTCTTAAGATTTCTCTGGCACAGTGGTTCTCGTCATTTTGTCTGTCCATGACCCATTCAAATAAAGAATCTGATGAACGCTAACAGCGTTTTCCCAGAAAAGTGCACACAATCTTTAATTTTATATACAATTTCAGGGTGTTCACAAAAAAACCTGGTCTCCTTAAAATCTAGGTTAAGAACCCCAGTTCTGGAAGATTTTATTTTATTTTTTTTAGCTTTTTTGGTATGCTTGTGGATACTGTTCTTGAGGAAACTGAATAATAAAGGCAAATGATTTTTCAGTGCTATGTGCCAGACACTGTTATAGTAATAAAAATGAGGGTGATTTGAAGTGTGTATGTGTGTGTGTGTGTGTGCATGCGTGTGAGTGTGTGTGGCATTTACCCCCCACTTCCTAGCTGTTTGTTGTGGTCCAGTGAAAGCAAACGAGAGGGTGGAAGTTAAGAATGTAAAGTGCTCTGTCCTTTATGCACTGCATTTGTTGTTGCTGTTAGTTGCCATGGAGTAGGCTCCGACTCATAGTGACCTTATGTAGAACAGAACAAAACATGGCCTAGCCTTGTGCAATCCTCATAATTGCTATTTTTGAGTCCATTGCTGCAGCCACTGTGTCAGTCCATCTCATTGAGGGCTTTCCTCTTTTTTGCTGACCTTGTACTTTACCCACCATGATGTCCTTCTCCAGCGATTGGTCCTTCCTGATGACACGCCCAAAGTAAGTGAGATGAAATCTTATCATCCTTGCTTCTAAAGAGTGTTCTGGCTGTACTTCCTCCAAGACATGGAACATTTGAAACTTACTCAGAGCACTTGGTATATGTTAGCTACAAGAGCAATACGTTGGAGGGGAGAGAGAAATTAGTTGAATGTATTTAAACTAGTTTGATAGCGTTGAAATAGGTCAAACTTGCTTCCTTTGGGAGAAGTGAAGGATACCTTTTAAAAGTCTTTATTGTTCTTCTGATTTCAACCACAGTATATGCTCAGATACAAAACTTTGAAAAGCCAAGTAAGCACAAAACATGCTTATTCACTTTTATTGTAGAAGTTTTCAGAGAAAAGTTGGATAGTATAATGGATAACGTGTATACACTCCACCTAGATTCAATAAATGTTAACATTTTGCTCTTTTTTTTCTCCCTGTATTCCTTATCTTGCTAAGCCATTTAAAAGTTGTAGCTATCAGGAAGCTTCATCCCTAATGTCCTAAGAATAAGGACACTGGCCAGCATAGCTACATACCTGAAAAAAACAATTCCATATCATTTAATATCCACTCCATTTTCAAATTTCCCCAATTGTGTTCCTAAAACTAAAGTGGCAATTCTAGAAAAAAAAAATTCCAGAAGGGCAATAAGCACTGAGTCATCACTCTACTTCTAAATCAAGGAATTGAAAGGGTATCAGGGAAGTGAAGTTTATAGCATAATAAGCGCAGCTGACAACTAGCTCTTAAACTCTTTATACAGCACTGCATTTGAGACCCAGTTTTGACTCTCGTGGGTTACTTGACACAAAACGCACAATCTCCTTCCACCCTGTTGGCTGAGAGGAGCTCCATAGTATGGCCTAAGAGAAATTGTTCATTTGCAATATTTTCTTGGGCTCCTGTTCATAAGATACTGCACAGAAGTTTATCTAAATAAATAGCTGTAATTTCTTTTTCATGTCTGGGTGAGATTTAGCTATTATTTCTAGAAGCTTTTTTGAGGTGCTGATCATGTAGTAGTTATAAAAAAGAAAAACAAAAAACCATTGTCGTTGAGTAGATTTCAACTCATAGTGACCCTACAGGACAGAGTAGAACTGCCCCATAGGGTTTCCAAGAAGCTGCTGGTGGATTCGAACTGCTGACCTTTTGGTTAGCAGCCGAGCTCTTAACCACTGCACCACCAGGGCTCCATGTAGTAGTTAGTATGATAAAAATTGTTTAAAGAAAAAAGAATAATACTTTGATGACTTTCTAGTGCCTCAAAGTTGTCAGTTGCCATCCAGAAGTAAATGTCGCGTGGTCTTGCACCATCTTCATGATTGGTGGTATGTTTGAGTTCATTGTTGTGGCTATTGCAAGGGCTGGTTAACCAGTAAGCACGGCACACACTAGCTTACGGTAAGCAAGGTATGCACGGGCTTAATAGTGTTTACATATTAATCTGTAGTGCACATCTTTGATGTGGTGAGAAAGAGGTAAAATTGTGCACTACAGATTAGTAAGTAAGCACAAGTAAGCACATGCATACTTTGCTTATTGGGTTCTCGTCCCTGGGTTGTTGTGTTAAACCAGCTCATGGAGAGTTTCCCTAGCTTTCACTGATCCTCTGCTTTACCAAACAGGATGTCCTTTTCTAGTAACTGCTCTTTCCTGATGATATGTCCAATGGAAGCGAGCCAAAGTCTCGCCATCATCGCTTCTACGCAGCATTCAAAGTTATGTTCTCCCCATTTTTCCATGCTGCTAATTTCCAGAACGGGGAGAACTGATTTCAAAAGGGAGCTGAAGTTTTTAGACTTTAGCATGGTTAGGAAGAGAAACAGGGCTGGGAGAACAGAGATGCTGCTAATGGTATTTATAAAACTTTGGCATTTTAACACAAACGATCTGAAGGATAATCCACATTTCAACATAGAGCACAGAAATGAAAAGTAAAAGTAAAACCTTTTATAACAATAGTTTAGTAATGGCAGCCACTAACGCAGTTTGCAGGGATTCTAAATACATTATTTAAAACACAGATGTTGAATTCAGCGTGCTAAACGCCAGCTCAGCAGGCGGCAATGCACTCACAATGCATGAGCACAGGGTTAATAAGCCGATCCCCCCACAGCTAGAGAACTCAAACAGATGACGACAGGGGTGTTAATCATTTCCTTACCAGGCAATCTTAGTCACAGGTTCCTGCTAAAAGTGAAATCACCCCTCTGGTTTACATTTAAAAACTTTTCACTCAGTTCATGTTGCGATTTCTCCCTTCTAGGTTAAGCACATGGAAATCTGCTGGGCAATTCTGTTTTCAGCACCATTTCCATTTGTTGCTCCCACAAGGTGGGGTTTATCTGATAGCGCAGTGGATGGAAACTTCAGAATAAAATTAAATGGCTGAAGGCTGAGCAGAGTTTATGCCGGCTGTGGTTATGAAGAGGGTAAGTGAATGAGCCTCAGAGTTGCTCTTATGTTCATTCTTTCTTATACAGGATTTTATACACCATGAAGTGCAGCAGGCATAATCTTGCAATTGCAGTTAACCTTTTAGATTTGCTCGATGATTGTTTTTAGGTGATCGCAGGCCAAAGAGCAAGAAGTTAAAATGCATAATTGAGCATATGACAAAACTGCTTGAGCTTCCCCTTGAAAAAAATCATTTTATTAATTTAACAGCTTGTTTAGTTAGTTGAACTGTTACTGAAGTGTCCTTATGCACTGAAGTAATGTTGGACTGTTCAGAAATGGACTGGAGACAATTTTATATGAATGAAAAGACATAAATAATTTTGATTATTGGAAATAGCCAAGCTAGAAACTGAATGAAACATCTGGAGGCAGGCTTAAAATGTCAAATAATTCTGGTTCTAATAGAAATATTGTGCATAATCAATTCACAAGGTAATTTTTTGTTGTTTCTTGAAATCTACTTGAGATAGTTTTATAAACAAAAGCTATATTGATTTTTGATTATTTTCTTTCTCGAAAAAGTAAATGATATTTGGGTAAAATAGAAGGAATTTCATTAGAAGAATGCTGATTTTTTTCTTGCTTATTTATTTTCTTTTATTTTTTAAAATTATTTTATCGTACTTCAGGTGAAGGCTTACAGAACAAATAGTTTCTCATGAAACAGTAGTACACATGTTGTTTTATGACATTGGTTAACAACC